GTTTTCCAGCTTTAAAAAGGCAGGAGCCGAGCGCGGCCCTGCGTCAGAGCGAGAGTTGGAGACTCCGCAAACTTGCCGCCAGGCCAGGGTCGCCAGTGCTGAGTCGGAGCGCAGGGGACCCAGAGAGGGGATCGCACCCCGCCGAGGCTCCCACCGCCCCCGGACCCGAGGCTTCCGCTGGCCTGTCGCGCGCCCCTCCATGTCAACCCCGCGGGGGGCGCGGCGCTGAGCCCAGCCCCGGAGCGCCTCCGTCGGGGCGACGCGCGCAACTTTGCGCCAGGAGGACGCGCCCCCGAGGCGGGCACAGCCGGCGGGGAGGCCGCGGGGCCCGGGACCGCTCCTCCTCCGGCTCCTCGCTGCCGCTGCGTGGATGCCAAGTTCGAGTTTTCCAGCCCCTTCCAAGTTTCCACTTGGCCCTCCGGCTGCAGCCTGCGGGAGAGGCCACTCTGCGGGGCCCGCGCCGCCTGCCGCTGGCACCATGAAGTCGGCGGAGGAAGGTAACCCGGAGCGACCGCCCCTTGCCCGGCCCCGCGCGTCCTCTGCCCCGCGCCCGCCGGCCGACGGGTGACGCCGCGGGTCGCGGTTTGGCGCGGGTAGGGTGGGCTTTGGCGGGGGAGGGGACGCACAGAGGGCGCGACTACAAGACAGAGAAGCGGTGTCCCACTGGTGTTCCCCGCAGCAGCCTTGCTTTTGAATGCGACTTCTTGCCAATAGGTGTCTCCTGTTCGCTTGGGCTGCCTGTGCGAACTTGGCCTTGGCTTCTGGAGTCGCGAGGCGGTCCAGGCGGTAGGAGACTCAGCTAAAAGGCAATCGAGATTGGGGGGCCGGACTAGGGTAGCTAGCGCTCAGGGATGAAGTGTGATTCCTGGGGAACGTGAGGCCCGCGTCGCGTCGCTGGAGGGCCCGGTGTCTGGTGCCTCTTTCTGGCGCTTTGTTAGGCGCTGGCTTTTCTGAAAGAGCGCCGCTTTGCAAAGTGACTTTCTTCTGTTGGATAGAGGAGTCCGTGTGGCTCCCTGGATGCTTTCCTATCCAAGGGCGGTACTAAAAGCAGCAAGATGTGGCCAATAAGTAACGGCATTGTGAAATCTTATAGAAATGAGAATTCCCACCATACAGTGAAGCAAGACCGCTTTGAAAGAATGCCGAGTTTCCAGCAGTTCTTATGTACGGGAGAAAAAGGCATAACTTTTTAGCTTTAAAATCCTGTGTCTGCCCTTCCCTCCAGTTGAGGGGAGTGCTTGTTAATTACAGTGTACCACCACCCCACTCCCCATTTCTGGAAGCCTGATAATCCCCCCTCCCCATGGAAGTATTGGCTCTCCATACCTTTTCAGAGGCTGCCCAGGAACAAAGAGGCCTAGAACCCTCCCAGGTCCCCGATGCAAGGTGCAAGCCAAGATTGCTCAGTGTGGCATGATTAATGTCTTATTTATGGCTTACCAGGACAAATGGATGGTGTGAATTGGGAGGACCTTTTCAAGTTCCTTATCAACAACTGGGGTATTTTGTTTAAATTCATGTGGGAACATTCTGTCAGCGCTGGTTAACAAAAGAGAACATCTTCTGACAAGCAGTGAAGAAGGGCAGCGGTCTCCTTGACTGCTCTGGAAAATAGGATGGCACCTCACATTGGACTTCAGTCCTCTCTCCGAGATTGCCAACTCCGGAGAGCCCACTCGTCTTTACAAAGATGAGGCGTGTCTGCCCGTCTTGTCTTGTCCTGTGAGATGCTCTGGATATTTTGTTTCAAGGAGAGTAGGCTTTGCTGATGTTTCTTGCCATCTCATCTGCATTTAAAAATGTTCGTATGTCCAACATCACCCAATGTTTATCACCGATGAGCTCTTGTTATGAGAAAAGTTTAAAACATTTTTGTTGGTGTTTTTATTTTAAATCTTTGGATACTTATTTCCAAGTTTTTCTTATCATTGCTTAAAAAAATAGGGCTTAGTATAGTTTCAAATGAGCCTGGTGATGCAGCCTGATAAGCTTTGGCCTGCTAACTGAGAGGTTCGTAGTTCGAACTCGATCACTCTGAGGGAGAAAGATGAGACAGTTGGTGTCCATAAAGATTCAGTTTTGGAAACGATCTGCCACATTGGGTCCCTCTGAGTTGGAATCCACTCAGAGGTTGGTAGTATAGTTTCAAAGTTTAGACGTCTCCTCTTAACTCGAATAGTCCATTGTAATAAGGAATTCTCTTACAAAACTGGAGGGGTGGAGGGTGAAATCTATGGGGATGCTGGTTAGTTTTCAGATAAAGAAAATACGTTTAAGAATGCCCGGCCTAGTGGGCCGTGATCTAGGTCCAACTCTGCCCTTTGAATGAATGAACATAGATCCACTTTGTTAAAGGGTTAGCCCCTCTGATCCCCCTTTAGACACAGAGCAGGCCTAGGTCCCCTCCCTCCTGTGGACTGTCCAGTGTCTCTGGGATGCTGCTGCAGATGCCCGCGCTTGTTTTTCCGCTGGGAGTTCTGGTAGCCACCCATTCAGACACTGTTCCCCACAGAAAGCTCTGAGGCTTCCCAGAGTGGTTCAGAACAAAGCCAGCCCTGTTCCCCTTCCATGTACCTTCACGGCATTCTTTACTAATCCAGATTAGAGCACAGGGCAGCGGCAGCGCTTGCCCCATGCCTTATCACACCCAACACTCAAGCTTTGTATCCTATTAACATCCTCTGGGAAGAGACATCCAAGTTAAACATTTCCACTAAGACCCGGGCATCTGCTGAATTGGCGATTTAAAGACCAGTGGGGCCCAGCCCTGTACAGTAAGCAGGGTCTGTGGTGGGCCAGTCTGCTGGGGGCCTGAGATGCAGTGGGGGGCCATGGGGACCTGTACTTGCAGAAAGTGTAAACACACTTTCTTTGGAAGTTCTTGTCAAATGCAGTCAAGTTGGTTCTGACTCATAGAGACCCTGTTTAGGGTTTCTGAGGAGCAACTGGTGAGTTTGCAGTTCAAACCGACCTTGGTCCCTACCAGGGTCTCTACTCCTGAGGAGTTCAGCAAAAAGTCTGCGTCTAAACAGCTGATCAGGGCTGAGATTTGTACCAGGGGAGGTGGGGGATGTTAAAAATCAAAAAGAAGGACAATGCAATGGTGCCGCCTCTCAACAGAAAACAAAACTTCCATTTGCCTGAAGGTCAGCAAAAAGCAGACTGAAACAAAACAACCCTCCAACATACATCTCCAACTATTATTAGAAACAAAATCAGGCCAAGCCCAACTATAGTGTATCACTGGAGAAAACCAGCCATTTGATGAGGGTCATGGAGAGAAAGAGAGAGAGAGAGAGATAGTATGTGTGTGTGTGTGTGTGGGGGGGGGGTTGGCAGGTGATTGGCAGGTTATCTGCTTCTGCAAAAAGCAATATCCGCAGGGCCCGAGGGCCCCAGGGCCAAAGGAGGGCAGGATGTTGAGGTTACAGCCCATAGCTCCCTTCTGGGAGGCGGGGGAGGATCCTCAACTTACTATAAAGTCAGCTTCCCACCACTCTTGCTCTTCCAGATGTTGGAGGAATGAGAATAGACCGCTGGGCGACAAAGGAAAGGAAAGGCCCTAGGCCAGCTGGTCCCCACAGTGCATGCAGCCTGTGTCTGGAAACCTCAACACTGCAGGGCAGCTACCTTGTGTTGGTATGCGAGCCTGTAAGCCTGCTTTTAGCGGGCACAGGGATGAATATGATTGGCACAACCAACACCCGCCTGAAAATCAAACGTCGGTGGCTCTGAGTAAAGAGAACAAAATATGAGCAGTGGATAACATCAGCTCCAACAGACGGTCCTCATCCTGGGCCCTTCCAGCCTCTCCCAATAATTTCTTCAGCAATGGGGGTGAAAGGTGTTCCCTGAGCGTACTGCTTCCAGCACGAAGGCTTTCCATAACTCGCGTCCCTTTGAAAGGGGCCTGGTCTCTCTGCTGGGCGCTGCGAAGACAGAGGGGCACACGTGGTGGTCCAGAAAGGCCTGGGATGTTTACTTTTTACACCCCATTCCCTCACCCTGAGTATAGTAGCAGCCCTCGTAGGCTGGGCCTCGGTGGGTCCGCGGGGCGCAGGGGGCTGCGGGGGACTGCGGGGGGCTGCGGGCGGGGGCTCGGAGGTCACCTCCCGCCTGGCCGGCCCTCCGCGTCCCCGGACCCCCAAGCACAAGGCCGATCCCTCGCTGGCCGCGGTGGCCGCGCGCGTCGCGGGCCGAGTGGGAGTTTGGTGGAAACTCGGAAGCTGGCGGCAGCGCGTGTTTATACAACCCGGAAACG